GGTTTCCTGGTAGGCCGCTGGCACCCACACGCACTCACCCCAAAATTATCGCAATGACCCCTAACAATTTTCAGGTCTCAGCAGCCCTGGGCAGGTCGTTTATGACAAAGTGTCATAAACGTCGTGCACTACCCTTTGTGTGCCTATTGCAAGAATTCACGGTGGTCACTGTCCACGTTGCAGCTGTGAACAGTTGGAAAGGTGAAAAATGGTGAATTTTAGACCATTTGTGCCCACCTCTTCATTTCAATGTACCTGTGGGTAAATGGCGCCAGTTGCAATGTGGGTGCTGGAATTGCTTAGATTTTTGATTTGCTGGTAGGCCGCTTGCACTCGTAGGCAGTCCCCCAGGAACTTTGACCTTGCTGTAACTGGCTGGAGTTCCCAAATCGGATGTACGGGCAAAAAGCCCCAAACCTGGACATAGGATATTTTCCAGGTTCAGCAGCCCTGGGCAAGTCGTTTATGACGATGTGTGACAATGACAATGTGTGCCATTTCTGTTGTGCACTACACTTTGTGTGACTATTGCAGGAAATCACGGTGGCCACTGTCCATGTTGCAGATGTGAACCGTCGGAAAGGTGAGAAATAGTGAATTTTTGACCATTTGTGCGCATGTGTTCTTTTCAATGTACCCGTGGGTAAATGGGCCCAGCTGCAATGTGGGTGCTGAAATTGCTTAGATTTTTGGTTTGCTAGTAGGCCGCTTGCACTCATAGGCAGTGACCCAGGAAACTTGACCCTGCTGTAACTGGCTTGAGTTCCAAGTCCGGATGCACAGGCAAAAAGCCCCAAACTGGGAGATAGGTAATATTTAGGGTTCAGCAGCCCTGGGCAGGTCGTTTATGACAATGTGTGTCATTTTTGTTGTGCACTGCCCTTTGCGTGTCTGTTGTAGGAATTTACGATGGTCACTGTCCAAGTTGCAGATGTGAATAGTCGGAAAGGTGAGAAATGGTGAATTTTGGACCATTTTTGCGCTTGTGTTCTTTCAATGTACTTAAGCGGGATTCACAGAAGCTTTTGTGCGATGCGACACGCGATGCGACGCGATCTGCGACGGACGCGTGCGATGCGAACTCGCGAAATACCATTCACAGAAGAAGTCAGTGATGCGACAACATCTTGCTGATTTGGCTACGTCACCATGATATTCGCGCGGTTTGATACAACTTGTACAAATTTATAGGCAACTCTTGAACCTTTGTACAACTTTGCTGTAGAAAAGGTCAAATTCGTACGCCAAATCGCTTGTCGCATCGCATCGCATCGCAAAAGTTGAGCCAAGCTCAACTTCTGCGATGGCCTGCGATGGCCCTGTTGCGGCAGTTGCGTGGGGTCCGCGATGGTTGCGATTTGGGGATTTCCCGGTTTCGCGGCTGTCGCATCGCGTGTCGCATCGCAAAAAAGCTTCTGTGAATCCCGCTTTATGGGTAAATTTAGGCAGGCAGGCGCACGGGGTTGGTCAAAGACCATGATCGAGATACGAGAGGTACCTGGTTCAAGTCCTGCCTGGGAGCGGTTTTTCCAGCCGTGCTGCTACCCACAGTCAACTGAGAACTTGTGGCCAGGCACAAGGGGTACATGGATGCAGCTAATGCGGTCGTTGTCGGCACTTGTGCCAGTGGTTGTGAGACTTACCCACTCACCCCTACCGTTAGGCGCTGCATCTGCCGCTAGGGTTTATCGGGTGTTAGCGGCCGTCGTGAGTTCCCTTCGGGAACGGATACGATAATTTACTTTTTTTTATGGGTAAATGGGCCCAACTTCAATGTGGTTACTGGATTGTGTAACTTTTTGGTTTGCTAGTAGGCCGCTTGCACTCATAGGCAGTGCCCCAAGAAATTTGACCCTGCTGTAACTGGCTTGAGTTCCAAGTCCGGATGCACCGGCAAAAATCCCCAAACTGGGAGATAGGTAATATTTTAGGGTTCAGCAGCCCTCGACTGGTCGTTTATGACAATGTGTGTCATTTCAGCAGCCCTGGGCAGGTCATTTATGACAATGTGTGTCATTTCTGTTGTGCACTACCCTTTGCATGTCTGTTGTATGAATTCACGATGGTCACTGTCCAAGTTGCAGGTGTGAATAGTGGGAAAGGTGAGAAATGGTGAATTTTGCACCATTTCTGCGCTTGTGTTCATTCAATGTACCTATGGGTAAATGGGCCCAGCTTCAATGTGGGTGCTGGATTTGCTTAAATTTTTCGTTTGCTAGTAGGCCGCTTGCACTCGTAGGCAGTGCCCCAGGAAATTTGACCCTGCTGTAACTGGCTTGAGTTCCAAGTCCGGATGCACGGGCTGAAAGCCCCAAACTGGGAGATAGGTATTTTTTAGGGTTCAGCAGCCCTGGGCAGGTCGTTTCTGATAATGTGTGTCATTTCTGTTAAGCACTACCCTCTGCGTGTCTGTTGTAGGAATTCACGATGGTCACTGTCCAAGTTGCAGGTATGAATACAGTCGTCCCTCTCTAATCCGGTACCTTTTTCTACGGCGTTTTCTGCTGGATTAACGAGGGTGCTGGATTAAGAAATCCTGCCCTCTGACCCGGCCCTACCCAATTGCATGCATGTATCGTACGTCAAAACGCAGGGTTTTTCCGTGTCGACCCAAGTATTTGGTGCACGGCTTTATATTCTCAACTGTTCTCCAGGAATATACACAGTGATAAAGTGATAAAGTAAAACAGAGAACATGTTCACATGTACTCTTGCACACACACGCACACACACACACACCTGAAAATTGGCAGGACACTACTCCTTGCTAAAATAAGAAAGTATGGTTGACTGCTTAGCTGTTGTCTCCTGGACAACATTGACCCTCTTGAGAAGGCCACGCAAGCAGTCGACATCATGCAGGTCGCACGTTGTAGTTAGTTGTAGAACGTCAGTACCATCGGTCAGTGTCGTGCAATGTTATCGCATGAGCTGATTGTTTAGTAACTGGTGGTGTTAGTGGACAGTATAGCGTAACTTGTAGTTCCTTGGTCTTTCTCTTTGTATAAATTGAATTAGGGTTCGGAAAAGTCCTAACAACCAACCGAACTGAACTCTCCCGAGCGAGGTCGAGTACAGTTGTCAACTGAACTGAACTCTGAAGTGGCCCTGCGCGCGCGGCACTGACCAGACTGGCCTAGCCTGGCCTGGCAAGGAGTGCACCTGTACGGTACGCGATTTACGACTGCCGGATTATGAAATCAAACTACGTGCAGTTTGAGCGATTCGTTTCAAAAAGTCACTGCCGGAGGCGGAATTCAAGTGCCGGATTAAGATGTAGGAATTGAACGAAAAAAATCGGTTTCGTCGGAAAATGCGCCAGTTGGCAAGGGTTCCGGATAAACAAGTGCCGGATTAGAGAGGGACAACTGTAGTCGGAAAGGTGAGAAATGGTGAATTTTGGACCATTTCTGTGCTTGTGTTCTTTCAATGTACCTATGGGTAAATGGGCCCAACTTCAATGTGATTGCTGGATTGTTCAACTTTTTGGTTTGCTAGTAGGCCGCTTGCACTCATAGGCAGTGCCCCAGGAAATTTGACCCTGCTGTAACTGGCTTTAGCATTCCGCGCACGCAGACGGCATGCAGGCAGGCATACATCATTAGCATTCCGCGCACACAGACGGCATGCAGACAGGCATACACCACACGAATAAGGCTAGGTTGTGTTGGGCAAGTACTGGTGACGAGGAACTGGTTGGTCTTTGCCGCAAGGTAGGCACGAGCCCGTGAGGCTGCGAGTGCCGCAGAAAGGCAGAAGCCCGGAGGCTGTGATTGCCGCAGGAAGGCAGAAGCCTAGAGGCTGTGATTGCCGCAATGGAAAGGCAGGACCATAAGGCCATAATGCCGCAATAGAAAGGCAGACCAGTTATGAGTGACTCGCCACCAGGTTTATTGTACTTGAAGTAGGAATGATGCAATGTAGTATTAATGGTTAGTGGTGGGATGGTGGGTCAGCAAAAGACAAAGGCAGCAGGATGCAAGTCGGGCATGAGCCAAAGCAGAGAAGACTCAAACTGAGAATGGCAAGGAGATGTGCCACGTTGCGGACTCGGACCCGATCAAAACTGAATTAATTATTGTGATGACGTACGCATAAATTAATGTGATGCACAGCAGGCGGTCTTGCCGGTCGCGGCAAGGCGCGCTAAACAAGTGCCGCGGCCAGAACGTAGAGGGCGCTGTTGCGCAGCAGATACGTAGTTGCGAGATGTGCGCCTACGCTAAACTGAATTCATTACATGAATACATCATTAGCATTCCGCGCACGCAGACGCCATGCGGGCAGGCATACATCATTAGCATTCCGCGCACGCAGACGGCATGCAGACAGGCATACACCACACGAATAAGGCTAGGTTGTGTTGGGTAAGTACTGGTGACGAGGAACTGGTTGGTCTTTGCCGCAAGGTAGGCACGAGCCCGTGAGGCTGCGAGTGCCGCAGAAAGGCAGAAGCCCGGAGGCTGTGATTGCCGCAGGAAGGCAGAAGCCCGGAGGCTGTGATTGCCGCAATGGAAAGGCAGGACCATAAGGCCATAATGCCGCAATAGAAAGGCAGACCAGTTATGAGTGACTCGCCATACCGCCAGTACATACCCATACCCAACAGTATTGCAGTGCAGCATAGCATAGTTCATTATGAGGGAATTGTGTGAATCGAGAAACATCGGTGTCAGGGAGATGATCTTACTGAGGATAGTTTGCTGGCCAGCGTTCGGGCCGATGACGGTGGTGTCCGGATGTAGCGTAGGAATGCATCACTGCGCCACCGCCCCGCGGAGCGGATTTGGTGGTCGGGGACGCCAGCAAGGGCAGCAGTGGTAGCGGCCCCGATACGGAAGCTGTGGCCTGCATAGTCCTGCCAGTTTGCCACGCCGCTGGTGCTAAGCAGCGTGCGTACGTGGGCTGTAAAAGTGCTGCGGTTGAGGCGTTGCCCGTTGGCCAGGATGAACACAGCACTGCCTGGACGAGCAGAGGCGGTTGCAGTGAGGTAGGTGAGCATGGCTCTCACAGCGCAGTATGGCGGCACCGCTGGCCCGATCAGCACCGTCGTACCTTCCCCGGACGGGTCTGTCTTCGAGCGTGGTAGGTGCACATGGAGCATCCCTGACTCGAATGTCAAACAGCCGCGCGTGGTAGGTGCTTCTAGCAGTTCACCGCACCTGAAGAAACCAAACCCAAAAAAACAAACGGAACACGGCAAGCATAGCGGCATGCAGGCAGCGCTTGTCGTGAGGGCACATGGTTGGAGCAGCTAGGCAGGTGTCAACCAGACTGCAGAGAATAGGAAACGTGATTGGCAGCCTGGGGCGGACAGCGGCTACTCCATGGCAACGGCAAATACCGCGTACCACTCGCTTGAGGAAGTGCGCGCCCTCGGTCGGGTCGACATAACCGAGCTCCAGGTGCAGGTTCTTGATAGCACCGACTGGGTTAGGGAGGCAGCAAAACTACTCAGCATTAGGTCTAAAGCGGGAAACGGGGACCATCTTTGAAGTTGGCAGAACTTGAGATACTTAGATTCGCCGGCGGAATACGTTCGTCTGGTGTTGTCGGATAGAGCGTGAGCAGCATATCGTGCTGCTAATTCGTCCGCGGCAGTTAGAATGACTGGAACAGGTCGGCTGTCGCCCGAGCTCCCGGAACCGCCTCGCGAAATGCCTGCATGTTAAAACGAGACAGAGCATCAGCGGCTTTGTTAGTGCATCCTGGAATATGCTTTGCTGACAGAATGAAGCCAAAGTTAGCACACATGAAGAACAGCCGTCGTATCAGATCCATGACTGGGGGGGAGCGGCTACAACCATTGGACAGGCATGCCACTACGGCTTCGTTATCGCAGTACACGATTATGCGGAGCTTGCGCCATTCAAGGCCCCAGGAGGAGCAAGCTGCGGCAATGGCGAACATCTCCTTCCACTCGATGGAGTAGTCGGCTTGTTCCGGCAACCACTGTCCCTGGATCCAGCGATGGCCATAACATGCGCCCCAGCCGATCGAACCGCTGGCATCAGTAAACAATTGGATGTCGGGAGACGGGGTCCAATTTGGCATATGAAAGAAGGACTTTCCGTTCCATTGCGAGAGGAGGCGTTGCCACCACTTCAGGTCTTCCAGAGCCTCGACTGAGAGTTTGATCTTATAGTGTGGCTGACTGTAACGGTGACAAATATCCCAGAGTGACAAATATCCCAGAGTGACAAATATCACTATTGATCACGCGATCGATGCAATTATGCAGTACGGTCGTTCTGCTTATCTTTTCAAACTTGACATTCGAAGTGCTTTCCGCATTGTACCTGTGCGGCAGGAAGACTGGCCTCTGCTAGGTATTCACCTGCAAAACCAATATTATTTCGACACTGTGCTCCCCTTTGGCTTACGCTCCAGCCCTGCCATTTTTAACTCTATTGCCGACTGCCTTGAATGGATTGCTCGCTATGAGTTTTCTATTACTGACCTGCTCCATTATCTAGATGATTTCCTTTGCATTTCTCCATCGGAGCTGGTGGCGAACCAACATGCTTCAATCCTGCTTCGCTGTTTTAACTATGTCCAAGTCCCCTTGGCACCTGACAAAGTGGAAGGTCCAGCTCAAGTGCTGTCGTTCCTGGGCATCGAGCTGGACTGTGGCAGACTGGAGGCCCGGCTACCAGACACCAAGTTGCAAGATCTCCGCACCTTGCTCGACCAGTATGTCAACCGTGGCGACATGACCCAACGCGAACTCGACTCACTATTGGGAAAACTCTCCTTCGCAGCTCGGGTAATTATACCTGGTCGGACATTCATGCGCCGACTCTGGGATATTTGTCACCGTTACAGTCAGCCACACTATAAGATCAAACTCTCAGTCGAGGCTCTGGAAGACCTGAAGTGGTGGCAACGCCTCCTCTCGCAATGGAACGGAAAGTCCTTCTTTCATATGCCAAATTGGACCCCGTCTCCCGACATCCAATTGTTTACTGATGCCAGCGGTTCGATCGGCTGGGGCGCATGTTATGGCCATCGCTGGATCCAGGGACAGTGGTTGCCGGAACAAGCCGACTACTCCATCGAGTGGAAGGAGATGTTCGCCATTGCCGCAGCTTGCTCCTCCTGGGGCCTTGAATGGCGCAAGCTCCGCATAATCGTGTACTGCGATAACGAAGCCGTAGTGGCATGCCTGTCCAATGGTTGTAGCCGCTCCCCCCCAGTCATGGATCTGATACGACGGCTGTTCTTCATGTGTGCTAACTTTGGCTTCATTCTGTCAGCAAAGCATATTCCAGGATGCACTAACAAAGCCGCTGATGCTCTGTCTCGTTTTAACATGCAGGCATTTCGCGAGGCGGTTCCGGGAGCTCGGGCGACAGCCGACCTGTTCCAGTCATTCTAACTGCCGCGGACGAATTAGCAGCACGATATGCTGCTCACGCTCTATCCGACAACACCAGACGAACGTAATCCGCCGGCGAATCTAAGTATCTCAAGTTCTGCCAACTTCAAAGATGGTCCCCGTTTCCCGCTTCAGACCTAATGCTGAGTAGTTTTGCTGCCTCCCTAACCCAGTCGGTGCTATCAAGAACCTGCACCTGGAGCTCGGTTATGTCGACCCGACCGAGGGCGCGCACTTCCTCAAGCGAGTGGTACGCGGTATTTGCCGTTGCCATGGAGTAGCCGCTGTCCGCCCCAGGCTGCCAATCACGTTTCCTATTCTCTGCAGTCTGGTTGACACCTGCCTAGCTGCTCCAACCATGTGCCCTCACGACAAGCGCTGCCTGCATGCCGCTATGCTTGCCGTGTTCTTTGGTTTCTTCAGGTGCGGTGAACTGCTAGAAGCACCTACCACGCGCGGCTGTTTGACATTCGAGTCAGGGATGCTCCATGTGCACCTACCACGCTCGAAGACAGACCCGTCCGGGGAAGGTACGACGGTGCTGATCGGGCCAGCGGTGCCGCCATACTGCGCTGTGAGAGCCATGCTCACCTACCTCACTGCAACCGCCTCTGCTCGTCCAGGCAGTGCTGTGTTCATCCTGGCCAACGGGCAACGCCTCAACCGCAGCACTTTTACAGCCCACGTACGCACGCTGCTTAGCACCAGCGGCGTGGCAAACTGGCAGGACTATGCAGGCCACAGCTTCCGTATCGGGGCCGCTACCACTGCTGCCCTTGCTGGCGTCCCCGACCACCAGATCCGCTCCGTGGGGCGGTGGCGCAGTGATGCATTCCTACGCTACATCCGGACACCACCGTCATCGGCCCGAACGCTGGCCAGCAAACTATCCTCAGTAAGATCATCTCCCTGACACCGATGTTTCTCGATTCACACAATTCCCTCATAATGAACTATGCTATGCTGCACTGCAATACTGTTGGGTATGGGTATGTACTGGCGGTATGGCGAGTCACTCATAACTGGTCTGCCTTTCTATTGCGGCATTATGGCCTTATGGTCCTGCCTTTCCATTGCGGCAATCACAGCCTCCGGGCTTCTGCCTTCCTGCGGCAATCACAGCCTCCGGGCTTCTGCCTTTCTGCGGCACTCGCAGCCTCACGGGCTCGTGCCTACCTTGCGGCAAAGACCAACCAGTTCCTCGTCACCAGTACTTACCCAACACAACCTAGCCTTATTCGTGTGGTGTATGCCTGTCTGCATGCCGTCTGCGTGCGCGGAATGCTAATGATGTATGCCTGCCCGCATGGCGTCTGCGTGCGCGGAATGCTAATGATGTATTCATGTAATGAATTCAGTTTAGCGTAGGCGCACATCTCGCAACTACGTATCTGCTGCGCAACAGCGCCCTCTACGTTCTGGCCGCGGCACTTGTTTAGCGCGCCTTGCCGCGACCGGCAAGACCGCCTGCTGTGCATCACATTAATTTATGCGTACGTCATCACAATAATTAATTCAGTTTTGATCGGGTCCGAGTCCGCAACGTGGCACATCTCCTTGCCATTCTCAGTTTTGAGTCTTCTCTGCTTTGGCTCATGCCCGACTTGCATCCTGCTGCCTTTGTCTTTTGCTGACCCACCATCCCACCACTAACCATTAATACTACATTGCATCATTCCTACTTCAAGTACAATAAACCTGGTGGCGAGTCACTCATAACTGGTCTGCCTTTCTATTGCGGCATTATGGCCTTATGGTCCTGCCTTTCCATTGCGGCAATCACAGCCTCCGGGCTTCTGCCTTCCTGCGGCAATCACAGCCTCCGGGCTTCTGCCTTTCTGCGGCACTCGCAGCCTCACGGGCTCGTGCCTACCTTGCGGCAAAGACCAACAAGTTCCTCGTCACCAGTACTTACCCAACACAACCTAGCCTTATTCGTGTGGTGTATGCCTGTCTGCATACCGTCTGCGTGCGCGGAATGCTAATGATGTATGCCTGCCCGCATGCCGTCTGCGTGCGCGGAATGCTAATTTTTACTTTGCTCTTCTGCCGCTTAAACTCGTACGCAATACCCCAGGAAATTTGATCCTGCTGTAACTGGCTTGAGTTCCAAGTCCGGATGCACGGGCAAAAAGCCCCAAACTGGGAGATAAGTAATATTTAGGGATCAACAGCCCTGGGCAGGTCATTTATGACAATGTGTGTCATTTCTGTTGTGCACTACCCTTTGCGTGTCTGTTGTAGGAATTCACGATGGTCACTGTCCAAGTTGCAGGTGTGAATAGTCGGAAAGGTGAGAAATGGTGAATTTTGTACCATTTCTGCGCTTGTGTTCTTTCAATGTACCTATGGGAAAACGGGCCCAGCTTCAATGTGGGTGCTTGATTTGTATAAATATTTGGTTTGCTAGTAGTTCGTGAGCACTCGTAGGCAGTGCTTCAGGAAATTTGATCCTGCTGTAACTGGCTTGAGTTCCAAGTCCGGATGCACGGGCAAACAGCCCCAAACTGGGAGATAGGTATTTTTACGTTTCAGCAGCTCTGGGCAGGTTGTTTCTGAGAATGTGTGTCATTTTTGTTGTGCACTACCCTTTGCGTGTCTGTTGTAGGAATTTACGATGGTCACTGTGCAAGTTGCAGGTGTGAATAGTCGGAAAGGTGAGAAAATAATGGTGAATTTTGGACCATTTCTGCGCTTGTGTTCTTTCAATTTACCTATGGGTAAATGGGCCCGGCTTCAATGTGGGTGCTGGGTTTGTTTAAATTTTTGGTTTGCTAGTAGGCCGCTTGCACTCGTAGGCAGTGCCCCAGGAAATTTGACCCTGCTGTAACTGGCTTGAGTTCCAAGTCCGGAAGCACGGGCAAAAAGCCCCAAACTGGGAGATACATGTAGGCAATTTTAAGGGTTCAGCAGCCCTGGGCAGGTCGTTTATGACAATGTGTGTCATTTCTGTTGTGCACTACCCTATGCGTGTCTGTTGTAGGAATTCACGATGGTCACTGTCCAAGTTGCAGATGTGAATAGTCGGAAAGGTGAGAAAAGGTGAATTTTGGACCATTTCTGCGGCTGTGTTCTTTCAATGTACCTATGGGTAAATGACCCCAGCTTCAATGTGGGTGCTGGATTTGCTTAAATTTTTGGTTTGCTAGTAGGCCGCTTGCACTCGTAGGCAGTGCCCCAGGAATTTTGACCCTGCTGTAACTGGCTTGAGTTCCAAGTCCGGATGCACGGGCAAAAAGCCCAAAGCTGCGAGATAGGTAATTTTTAGCGTTCAGGAGCCCTGGGCAGGTCATTTCTGACAATGTGTGTCATATTTGTTGTGCACTACCCTTTGCGTGTCTGTTGTAGGAATTCACGATGGTCACTGTCGAAGTTGCAGGTGTGAATAGTCGGAAAGGTGAGAAAATAATGGTGAATTTTGCACCATTTCTGCACTTGTGTTCTTTCAATGTACCTATGGGTAAATGGGCCCAGCTTCAATGTGGGTGCTGGATTTGCTTAAATTTTTGGTTTGCTAGTAGGCCGCTTGCACTCGTAGGCAGTGCCCCAGGAATTTTGACCCTGCTGTAACTGGCTTGAGTTCCAAGTCCGGATGCACGGGCAAAAAGCCCAAAGCTGCGAGATATATAAGTTTCCGTGCATGGCACGGTAAGTGAAGTTAGCAACCCACCAACAATTACATTCCTAACATAATTTGCACGTACTTGCCATAGCGCATCACGTGCCCGTGCAGAACACGCACTCCGAACTCCCGCGCTCCGGCACGGGACCACGCGGAGCATGCGCATTACTCCGGCTCTCGATGCTGTTTCTTCATCCTTGCTGCACCAACAGTCAGATCGCTTGACAACCTTGGCCAGTTTTTGAACAGTTTTTGAGTGACTTCGCTTGACAACCTCGGCCAGTTTTTGAGCATTGAGCACTTTCCATTTCCGAGCAACCATGTCTGAATCTCTGTCAGTGAACGACGCCAAGAAAATGCGCTCTGTAGAGCTGCGACAAGAACTGGCGGCCCGCAATTTAGACACGACGGGGACCAAACCCAGGCTGTTGACTCGCCTGCTCGAGTCATTGGAGTTCACTGCAGTGCGCGAGGACTTGGCCACTCAGGCAGCCGAGCAGAACCTACCCCAGGCAACTGCTGCTCCGTCCCTGAGGGACATTATCCGGGAGGAGGTCCGTGCTGCCCTTGGAAATCAGGCCGCAGCTCCAGTCCCGCCGGCAGCTCACGCAGCGGCACCCCCACCGCCAGCTCACACAGCGGCACTCCCACGGCAAGCACCAGCAACTCCGCAGGACGCTCTGCCTGCTCCGCATTTGGCGGCTGCCGTCTCACCGCCAATGAACCCCGCAGGTAAGAGAACGTTTTATGCAACCGTGCCGAAAGCCATTCACGATAAAGTAGTAACTGGCCAATTTGTTGAATTGGGCTCATTGTTGCCTAACCCGTCCCAAGGGGACACCAGCCGCAGCATTCTCCAGATCGACCACGACAGCTCGCAAGGCGCAGTGGTCCTAGCACCGGCCAACAGGCCCTCCAGGAAGGTCGAGGACATCGATACCTGGCTCGACGCCTGGACAACATACTGCGCGATTTACGCCACAGCACACCCCTCCAGGGCCCCAGAGCTGTTTGCGTACCAGCAGATTATCCTGAAAGTAGCCCGGAAATTTCGATTTGAGGCCGTGCAGGAGTATGACCGATCATTCCGCTCACTCCTGGCCGCGGACCCAACCATGCGGTGGGACGCAATAGTCCAGGACCTATACACAATTATATTTGACGCGCGGGCATTTCGTCCCTTTCGGCCCACCGTCAGCAATGACGCTCGTTCCTTTCGGCCCAACAGCAGCAACGACGCTCGTTCCTTTCGGCCCAGCAGCGGCAACGACACGGTCGACAAAGAAGTATGCCGCCTCTTCAACCAAGGAAAGTGCGCCCGCTCCAACTGCCGCTTCGCCCACACCTGCCTCTCTTGCGGCCGCCTCGGTCATGGCCA